TCACTGTCCACACCACTGATGTGGGAATTATAAAATTTTCATTGATTGATGTATGTGCACATACAAATTTTATTTTGATTGCATTATTCTTATAAATATAATAGCAATTTTGCACTCCCTAGTTACTTTCCACCAATTCTGTATAAGAAACACAACTTTGTATCCTATTCACCACCAACCAGAAAGGCTTGCAAGGTTTTGGAATTATACAGGTTTTTATTTATTTATATTTTTAATATATTTATCCATAGCTTATTCATGTTTATACAATTTATTCATTTATTTATGTATCTAAATTGCCTTGGTAATCTCAAAATATTTTTTTTGTTTAAATACAATTCTTTTTACAATAATTGTTTTTAATTTTTTATTACAATCGTGAGTTGTTTACTGTATATGTTTCAAGTCATGAATAAATCAAGTCATGAAGGTCATGAATTTTGACACCAGTGCAAACCTTGTCCTTGACAAATCCCCAAAAAACTAAGGGTGCAATATCCGGCAATCGAGGAGGCCACAGTATCGGTCCTCCGCACCCAATCCAACAATCAGAAAACTGTGTCGAGGAAACATCGAGCATGCAGGCTCCAGTGTGGAGGGTCACCATCCTGCTGGATCACAGAATTTGTTTCAGCGTATCACCACACAACTTATGCCTGCTCTTGTGGAGAAGCCATTTTGCGTTTGACTAACCGCCATGCCACCTACAGTTACTTTGGCAGGTTTTCAAAATTACCTATACAACTTCCACAGTTTCTCCACCTAATGGAATGCATGACATCTGATTACTGCCTTGCACTTCAATATGGCAGTCAAAACAAATGTGTCAGGTTCATGGTGAACACCCTGTATTGTATTAAAACTTATTTGGAATAAGTTATTTTTATAAATTTTGGAATAAGTTATTTTTATCCACTTTAAATTCTCAATTTTCCAAAACCGTGTTTTATGATTTTCTGTGATTCTCAAACAAGACTGTGCTACTATTTAAACACTTGGCATTTTTTCATCTTTATTCAGTTGATACAAGTATTACTACACATTTCAGGCACTGATCCTCATCAGCCAACATTAGATTCTTTACAAACTTGAAAGGTGTATACATGTATAAGAGTAATGCAGTTTTGTATATTTGCCTTAAGTTTTACAATTATATTACATTTACTAGTGAGACTCAGAATATACTTTTCCAACAATGAAATCAAAAGTAGGCTTTACCAACATGAAATTTATGAACATGTAAGGAGCAAGTTTTAAATTTTGATAAACAATTCCAACATTGAATTTTGCTTTCATATAGACGTGATATACTTTGTTTTTTATTTTTACAAATAAAACCTTAATTTATTTTTAAATTAAACCTTAATAAAATATTTTATTAAAGAACATATAAATTTTGAATTCAAAATTTATCATGATTTTTTCATGCAAGAATATGCCAATTATAATTAGAGCTTATTCTAAAATTTACCTAGAAATGTTTACCATCTCAAGATATATTTATAGTTATGAAATATTTTAAAACTACTGTGTACTAAATAATATACTGTAGGTCATACTTTGGAATAAGACATTATTAATATTTTTGTCAGTATGATTTTTGGAATTCACCTTCTATTAAGTGGCATAATTTTATGAAAATGAAGAGAGATTGTCATATGTAGTTTTTAAATAAAATGATTAAAGAGCATACATTCAATGTTTAGATAGATTTGGCTGCCAAATATTTTAGATTTTAATTTGCACATTTAAAATGTATTTATTATTAAAAAACATTTAAGAACAACGTTTTGATTCTGTCATTCATATCANGACTTGATTCTGCAACTTCTGCTTACTGTGTGGATGTGTTGCCAATTACTCTAGCCGGACCTCTGGTTCTGATCTTCTCTTCCTGCATATATAATTTTACAAAATAACCATCATTGGTTACTATGGTGCCAACTGGGGACACATTCAGCACCCTCGTCATATAAACTCCCACATAAAGTATTCAGTTGGCCATCACATACCTGGCCTTGCCAGGTATGCTATATAAACATCCACAACAAACACAACATAATATAAACATCCACAGCAAGCATTGCTATGGTTTGTTGTGCTATTAATAACTAATAACACAACAAATAATTGTGTATTTAATAATTAGCAAAAAATATCTTTTCCATATTTTTAGCTAATTCTTCTGCTTTAAGACTTGTTAGCAGAAGCATTGTTTCACAAATACTATTAAACCAAAGCTTCATATTTCTGCATCAATTGCTTTTGCAAATTATGTTTTCATTTTTTTTTCTGTTTAAATTTTAATATTTAGTCCATTTTTCACAGAATTGGTTATAAAAATTTTCAGGAGTCTCATGGAAATAAGTGTGTGTTTGTATGTATCCTTTCTTTAGAGTAATAACTATTACATAACTTTTAAAAAAAATATCATTTCTAGTATATTATAATTAGTACTTTGCCTATTTTTTTTTTACTTAACCTTTCTTGCACTTTGCTTATATTTATTTAAGTAACATATGATATAAACCAAAGCTTAAAGATACTGTAAATACAAGACTTTTCATAATTTATCTTGACATTAATCTGGAATCTAAATTTAAATTATATCGATCATTAGTTTTATTCTAAATAAAATTAATCTTTAATACATAGGAAATAAAATAAAGCTATTTCTAAACTATCTGAATATTTTAAAGCTAATATTAAAAACTAATTTTATAGTCCTTCAAATGTGTTGCATTGTGACATTGGAGTTCTGTTAAGTTTGGTCTGCTATCCCTCTGTCAGATGTCAAACTATAAACCACATGATGTTTAACATCAACATATTCTGACATTTTCGGTTATGTGAAATCTGCTGCAAGGATTTTTCCACAGTTTTTGCCAATTGTCATCTTTTAAATGATCAATTCATTTAAAAAATTTAAGTAAAATACAGTAAGTTCTGCTTATTGTAATCTCTATGGATTAGCCTATACTGATGATGATAACTGAATTATAATGTTATACAATTGTGAGACTAATCGGGGGTAGGATGTTTACGAGTTCTTGACTCTCCTACCGCTTACTCAACTCAAGACCTTGAGGTCCGGTCTCGCTTGTCTAAAGGATGGGTTCTTTTGAGCAGAAGGGTTTTAAAGTTAAGGATTGCTAGATCCTTATTTCACATCAGGATCTGACACCAATCTATCAATTTCTTAGCGGATAGATACGCGTTAGATTGAGGACAAAATTCATCACAAGTGACCTCGTGGAGGACTTCGGGTTCAGTATGGAGGGGATAATGTTGGAAGAAACGCACACCAATCCAAGTTCATTAACAATACTGTATACCTGTTTATTGTTGAGCATTTTTACATAGATAATTACAGTAGAGCATCATTTATCCGAATCAATTGGGGACTGGGGTTGTTCGGATAACTTATTTTTCGGATAACCGATTATGTACGAAAAAATACATTAACCTATCTCATGTTGAAATTTTTCTCCGTTGCATGTCACTTTGCGTTGAATTTTTGTCGATATTAAGCTTAATGTAAACTTTTTAAAATAATAATCATGGCTATTGTATCGTTAAAAGTTACTTCTTTATTTTTTTCAAACAAAATATATATATATATATTGAAAAATAAAAACAAAAAAAATTATACTTTAGAAGTTAATCTAGTATCAAAAACATTCGATTCAGCATGACACACAGTCCTCGGAAAAACACCACACAAAAGTGTCAGTGCTGCCAGCTAAAACACACCCATCAACAAAAAAATATTGGAGTAGCCCAAGACATAGTCAAAGATTGCAGCGCCACAGCACTAGCGAAAATTTAAATTTGCCGACTGGAATTCTTTTGGATAACCGACTTTCTGATAAACGATGCTCTACTGTAATTAGGAAATTGAAGTTACAGTTCTCTCTTGGGATTTTCAATCCGTATAATTCGTAGATTTCGGGTTGATAGCAGACAAAATATAAATTAGTCGCAACCCTACCCGCGAGTCGGAAATATTCGAGAGAGAGCTTACATATCCTTGCGAGTTTAATAAATACCTCTAGTTATAACATTGATGTCAGGTTGATCCGAGTTCTCGTTCTTCCCAGGTTTGTAAGTCAGTCCAAAGTTCATAGTTGAAGTTCAAAGTCATACTCAAAGTCAGAATTGTAAATGTGAGGCCCGAAAAAAATTAATTGAAATTAAACATTTATTATTAGAAATTTATTAAAACGAAACTAAAAAAAAAATCGTCTATTGTTAAAAACCGATCAAAGATCAAATTAGTTGTGTTAGTCATATGAAACCGCGACGAGAGAAAAAAATGCTATTGATGTAAACAGAACTCAATAATTATAATTGATTAATAATTGTAAACAAACGACCTCCAGTAGAGATGGACCTTTGAAGAGTCGCTCATATGCACATAATTAGAACATAGAAATTTTGAAAAGAGGAAAGATTAATGACGGAAAAGGACGTTGTGTCGTTAAATTTCAAAAACGTCGCAGACTAGACAACAATGGTGGAAAATATGAGCGCAAGTTTCAAAGTTCCATCAACATTTTGCATTCAGAATAACGGATGGTGTCAAGTAGATTCTTCAAGGCGGATCTTTCTCGTGACTCGAAAAGGAATCGTCTTTCGCTTAGAGACAGACGAGGGAGCCAATCAGAATGAACAAATTAGAGAATGGAGATTGATATAATCCCCGATCTTAAAGGACAGAGAGACTTATTCCGTAAACCTGCACTCCGGAAAGTTCGAAGCGAAAAACTCACTGGGTGTCGACGCACAGAAGACAAAGATTCTGCACTAGTGATCATCGAGAGAGCCGTGCCGCTGACGCTTACCGACAAGTCTCCTTACCTGCCGCAGCCCTGGGGCCCATCTCCGAGGGACAATAGAAAAACATCCTCAACACTTAGAACTTACGAACATTTAATTGGTTAAGGAACTTTGTGCATAGTGTAAGTTATTTCCTGTTAAATTAAACAGATTTTTGTCAGATACTTGTCATCTGTGTCTCCTCCGCCACATCCACACACGAACGACTCTAGATCATCCTGACGCAGGATTAACGATTCCCCCTGGAAGTCGGCGAACTTACATAAAGCCTATCGAAGATGATGGCAACAGCAACGAGAGGCAGGTAATCCACACACATACAGTATAGAAAAATAACTTTCTTCCCTTTGTCGTCATTGCACTTGCCTTTTATATGGGGGCTCTCTTTTCGAGATTTCCCCATGTACGTCACAGGTAATGATCTTCTTTGACCAATAGTGGGCGAAGTGACAAAATTATGACACAACGGTTAACTCATCTTTTACAAGGAAGTACCCTTGTGGGAACAGGGTTTTATGAGCGATTTTTATGAAAAAATTTTGTCGGTTGTTTTTCTCCTTTTGAGTTAACCCTAATTTAAAAAAAAAGTTGTTTTGGTTTTGGAACAAAACGATAGATGAAAATGAATAAAAATATTCAAATCTTAAATCCAGGCCCTCACACAATGAAATTAATTAGATCATAATTAGTAGAATTTCTATTTTATTTGAATCAAAGAATTAAAGCATGTTAAAACAATTTAATAATTAAATTTATTTTGAAATATTTTAACTTAAAAGTTTAATAATGATGAATGAAGTACAAGTAATTATTTGCTGGCCTGCCTTTGGCTGTACTATAGATTACCACCTATGGAATTTTGGGACTTGGTGCCATCTCTTAATAAACTTAATAATTATAATAATTAAATAAATAAATTAGATTTACTGGAAGAAAAGAATTGGCCCAGAGCAGGACTTGATTCTGCAACTTCTGCTTACTGTGTGGATGTGTTGCCANAATTTTTGTCGATATTAAGCTTAATGTAAACTTTTTAAAATAATAATCATGGCTATTGTATCGTTAAAAGTTACTTCTTTATTTTTTTCAAACAAAATATATATATATATATTGAAAAATAAAAACAAAAAAAATTATACTTTAGAAGTTAATCTAGTATCAAAAACATTCGATTCAGCATGACACACAGTCCTCGGAAAAACACCACACAAAAGTGTCAGTGCTGCCAGCTAAAACACACCCATCAACAAAAAAATATTGGAGTAGCCCAAGACATAGTCAAAGATTGCAGCGCCACAGCACTAGCGAAAATTTAAATTTGCCGACTGGAATTCTTTTGGATAACCGACTTTCTGATAAACGATGCTCTACTGTAATTAGGAAATCGAAGTTACAGTTCTCTCTTGGGATTTTCAATCCGTATAATTCGTAGATTTCGGGTTGATAGCAGACAAAATATAAATTAGTCGCAACCCTACCCGCGAGTCGGAAATATTCGAGAGAGAGCTTACATATCCTTGCGAGTTTAATAAATACCTCTAGTTATAACATTGATGTCAGGTTGATCCGAGTTCTCGTTCTTCCCAGGTTTGTAAGTCAGTCCAAAGTTCATAGTTGAAGTTCAAAGTCATACTCAAAGTCAGAATTGTAAATGTGAGGCCCGAAAAAAATTAATTGAAATTAAACATTTATTATTAGAAATTTATTAAAACGAAACTAAAAAAAAAATCGTCTATTGTTAAAAACCGATCAAAGATCAAATTAGTTGTGTTAGTCATATGAAACCGCGACGAGAGAAAAAAATGCTATTGATGTAAACAGAACTCAATAATTATAATTGATTAATAATTGTAAACAAACGACCNATAAATTTAGATTTACTGGAAGAAAAGAATTGGCCCAGAGCAGGACTTGATTCTGCAACTTCTGCTTACTGTGTGGATGTGTTGCCAATTACTCTAGCCGGACCTCTGGTTCTGATCTTCTCTTCCTGCATATATAATTTTACAAAATAACCATCATTGGTTACTATGGTGCCAACTGGGGACACATTCAGCACCCTCGTCATATAAACTCCCACATAAAGTATTCAGTTGGCCATCACATACCTGGCCTTGCCAGGTATGCTATATAAACATCCACAACAAACACAACATAATATAAACATCCACAGCAAGCATTGCTATGGTTTGTTGTGCTATTAATAACTAATAACACAACAAATAATTGTGTATTTAATAATTAGCAAAAAATATCTTTTCCATATTTTTAGCTAATTCTTCTGCTTTAAGACTTGTTAGCAGAAGCATTGTTTCACAAATACTATTAAACCAAAGCTTCATATTTCTGCATCAATTGCTTTTGCAAATTATGTTTTCATTTTTTTTTCTGTTTAAATTTTAATATTTAGTCCATTTTTCACAGAATTGGTTATAAAAATTTTCAGGAGTCTCATGGAAATAAGTGTGTGTTTGTATGTATCCTTTCTTTAGAGTAATAACTATTACATAACTTTTAAAAAAAATATCATTTCTAGTATATTATAATTAGTACTTTGCCTATTTTTTTTTTACTTAACCTTTCTTGCACTTTGCATCATAGTATATTTTTATATCATAATTTTTTGTATTTGTATTTTATTAATTTTCAGTGAAAGATAAATTATTTTGAATCTAAGTAAATTAAACCAATCAAAATTTTAAAATATTTTCAAAAGTTGCAAGATGTTATTTTAATTTTAATATTTTGGCATGTGTTTTTAATAACCTGTTGATTTTATTATAGATCTGTGCATCAAATTTTGGAGAATTTTGTGCAGTGGTAGGTCAAGAAACAACTATTGATTATTTGGTAAGTATTATACATTTAGTTCTCCCAATTTTGAATTAAACATAGAATAATAAAATGATTTATTTATATAAAATTGTTTTGATTTTAATAGTTATTAAAACAAATGAATTTACTTGCTTTTTTAAATTAAATTTTATTATATTTTTCTTATTGGATTTTTTCATCGTTTGTATTTCTCCCCCCCATAAAAATATGCTAAATATAATTCTTTCATGAATTTATATGGTTTATAATTTTGGCAAACATTTAGTAGTAATTAGTTTAAATATTACTGCAATTTTAAAAATATAAATAATGTCCTATTATTATTGTTTTTAAAAAATAAATACTTGACAAAAACAATGAGAAATATATTAAAAAATTTGATTTAAATGATAGATTTCTGACAATATTTTAATATTTTTATGGGAAATTTTTTAATATTTGAACACAAATTTTATTATAAACAGAGTGGTAAGTTATTCTTTTTTGAAGAAAGAAAAAAAATGTGTATTTACTTTTTTGTTTTACGTAAATATTATAATCTGGTGTAATAATATGCATAAATATGAAAAGAGAGTTAATTTTTATAAAGTATAAATTGTTGCTTCTTATCCAAGTCATTAGAAGGTAAGGATTTCATCAGAATATTTTTGTTATGCGTTTCGTTTGAATACTGAATTTGATGCTATGCTAGTAATAAATCCTTGTGTTTAAAGATGAACATGGAAAAATGAATGTTGTTAACAGTTGTATCCTGATGTACCATGAAGTGTACCATGAAAATTCAGATGAGGGGAGTCAGCAAGTAACCCCAAACTGACATGTTTTTGTCTATAACTTTGAATTTTTAAAATAACTCAACTTTTAGAATTCAAAACAATTTTTATTGTTGAAAATAATTATTATAAAATTAAATTAATTGCACTCAGTACATGTTCTAACAATACAGCGTTCCTCTTTCGATGTATGTCTAGGGCAAATGTATTACATGCACTTTGTACAAGATTTGATATATTTTCTGTCTTCTGATCTTCGACATAGAAAGCATCTCCCTTTTGGAATACTTTTAGTAGCATTCCTTGTTGCTCTTCCATTTGATTTGGTTTAAACTGTCCCTCTTAAAATTGTTCCTGCTTGATTTCATTTAAAGCCAAATACTTTTAGTGCTGATACTGAACTGCTAAGTAAAACCTTGGGAGTGCTCAGATCTGTATTTCATGTTAATATGGCATAATAAATTTCCTAGACTTTTCAAAAAAATCTTTTGACCTGATTCACGTTTTGGATATTTCTTGGTCCAAGTTTTGTTTGCCTCGCAATAAAACACATATGAATTATAAGTGACTAGATCAATCAAATTAAAAACAGCCTTGGCCATTTTCTTGTCCCACGCTGACAGCTATATGTTCTAATACATTTGTCAGATGTATCAACACTTGCTTTGGTTAAATTATAATAATGAATAATCTCAGGCTTCTCACTTAATAAATATACTAAATACACTTTATAGTTACTACTATAGTCAGGATTACAATTCCTCAAATCAGAATAATATAATACTAATAATTAAATAAATAAATTTAGATTTACTGGAAGAAAAGAATTGGCCCAGAGCAGGACTTGATTCTGCAACTTCTGCTTACTGTGTGGATGTGTTGCCAATTACACTAGCCGGACCTCTGGTTCTGATCTTCTCTTCCTGCATATATAATTTTACAAAATAACCATCATTGGTTACTATGGTGCCAACTGGGGACACATTCAGCACCCTCGTCATATAAACTCCCACATAAAGTATTCAGTTGGCCATCACATACCTGGCCTTGCCAGGTATGCTATATAAACATCCACAACAAACACAACATAATATAAACATCCACAGCAAGCATTGCTATGGTTTGTTGTGCTATTAATAACTAATAACACAACAAATAATTGTGTATTTAATAATTAGCAAAAAATATCTTTTCCATATTTTTAGCTAATTCTTCTGCTTTAAGACTTGTTAGCAGAAGCATTGTTTCACAAATACTATTAAACCAAAGCTTCATATTTCTGCATCAATTGCTTTTGCAAATTATGTTTTCATTTTTTTTTCTGTTTAAATTTTAATATTTAGTCCATTTTTCACAGAATTGGTTATAAAAATTTTCAGGAGTCTCATGGAAATAAGTGTGTGTTTGTATGTATCCTTTCTTTAGAGTAATAACTATTACATAACTTTTAAAAAAAATATCATTTCTAGTATATTATAATTAGTACTTTGCCTATTTTTTTTTTACTTAACCTTTCTTGCACTTTGCATCATAGTATATTTTTATATCATAATTTTTTGTATTTGTATTTTATTAATTTTCAGTGAAAGATAAATTATTTTGAATCTAAGTAAATTAAACCAATCAAAATTTTAAAATATTTTCAAAAGTTGCAAGATGTTATTTTAATTTTAATATTTTGGCATGTGTTTTTAATAACCTGTTGATTTTATTATAGATCTGTGCATCAAATTTTGGAGAATTTTGTGCAGTGGTAGGTCAAGAAACAACTATTGATTATTTGGTAAGTATTATACATTTAGTTCTCCCAATTTTGAATTAAACATAGAATAATAAAATGATTTATTTATATAAAATTGTTTTGATTTTAATAGTTATTAAAACAAATGAATTTACTTGCTTTTTTAAATTAAATTTTATTATATTTTTCTTATTGGATTTTTTCATCGTTTGTATTTCTCCCCCCCATAAAAATATGCTAAATATAATTCTTTCATGAATTTATATGGTTTATAATTTTGGCAAACATTTAGTAGTAATTAGTTTAAATATTACTGCAATTTTAAAAATATAAATAATGTCCTATTATTATTGTTTTTAAAAAATAAATACTTGACAAAAACAATGAGAAATATATTAAAAAATTTGATTTAAATGATAGATTTCTGACAATATTTTAATATTTTTATGGGAAATTTTTTAATATTTGAACACAAATTTTATTATAAACAGAGTGGTAAGTTATTCTTTTTTGAAGAAAGAAAAAAAATGTGTATTTACTTTTTTGTTTTACGTAAATATTATAATCTGGTGTAATAATATGCATAAATATGAAAAGAGAGTTAATTTTTATAAAGTATAAATTGTTGCTTCTTATCCAAGTCATTAGAAGGTAAGGATTTCATCAGAATATTTTTGTTATGCGTTTCGTTTGAATACTGAATTTGATGCTATGCTAGTAATAAATCCTTGTGTTTAAAGATGAACATGGAAAAATGAATGTTGTTAACAGTTGTATCCTGATGTACCATGAAGTGTACCATGAAAATTCAGATGAGGGGAGTCAGCAAGTAACCCCAAACTGACATGTTTTTGTCTATAACTTTGAATTTTTAAAATAACTCAACTTTTAGAATTCAAAACAATTTTTATTGTTGAAAATAATTATTATAAAATTAAATTAATTGCACTCAGTACATGTTCTAACAATACAGCGTTCCTCTTTCGATGTATGTCTAGGGCAAATGTATTACATGCACTTTGTACAAGATTTGATATATTTTCTGTCTTCTGATCTTCGACATAGAAAGCATCTCCCTTTTGGAATACTTTTAGTAGCATTCCTTGTTGCTCTTCCATTTGATTTGGTTTAAACTGTCCCTCTTAAAATTGTTCCTGCTTGATTTCATTTAAAGCCAAATACTTTTAGTGCTGATACTGAACTGCTAAGTAAAACCTTGGGAGTGCTCAGATCTGTATTTCATGTTAATATGGCATAATAAATTTCCTAGACTTTTCAAAAAAATCTTTTGACCTGATTCACGTTTTGGATATTTCTTGGTCCAAGTTTTGTTTGCCTCGCAATAAAACACATATGAATTATAAGTGACTAGATCAATCAAATTAAAAACAGCCTTGGCCATTTTCTTGTCCCACGCTGACAGCTATATGTTCTAATACATTTGTCAGATGTATCAACACTTGCTTTGGTTAAATTATAATAATGAATAATCTCAGGCTTCTCACTTAATAAATATACTAAATACACTTTATAGTTACTACTATAGTCAGGATTACAATTCCTCAAATCAGAATAATATAATACTCACACGAGGGCAACAATCCATAATGCATCATCAGATATATATATATATATATATTGTTTTTTTTTAAAAAAAAAAGTAAAAAAAATTCAAATTCCAAAATTAATATTTGTCTATAATATAAACAAAAATATGAACTGGGGTCGCAAAGTACCCCTTTATCTGCATGTCACTGTTAATAATGTTCTGACTAACTGACTTTATCTTTGTAATGACTTCAGACAGTTAATTTTAGGTAAGAGTCAATACTTTGCTACATAAAAACATTTTTTTCCTGACGTATGGAAATTCATACAAATAAAATTTTATATAGCTTTACTTAATAAAAATTCTTTGTTTGGTTTTTGAGTTATATATTAGTTAATTGAAATTAATGATCAGAATAATTTGTTTAATAACAAATTGCCATAAATTATGCAAATTTTTGTTAATCATCAAATTTTTAATTTTAAAAATGTGGAAGAAAATTGCTTGGAATATATCCTGTCTAAAACGGTATAAAGGTATATTCGAAAACGGTTAAAAAAAATTTCGTAAAATTTTGCTAATAGAGATAATTTGTTAAGAAGATTATCTATTTGTAATCTTGATGTGCTGTGTCAAGGCAATTTAGGCCGCCATATGCCTATTGCCGGGGTAGGCAGGACTCTTAAGCCTTGGTAGGCAACCTGCCTAGGAGAAGGAAAACTCTGATCAGAAACCGTGAGGAAGGCAATGGGAAACCACCTCAGCTATACCTCCCTTGTTAATGGAAAGCAGAAAACCTATTTATTGTACTGGCAAATATGGGACTCATCTCCAAGAGAAAGGTGTCATGCCCAGCAGGGGACGTTATGGGACTTTCCAGGTCGTCATCACGCGAAACCCCCATAGAAAGAATTTGAATAGGAACATGGAATGTAAGAACCATGCTTCGACC